ATTCTCCAACCATATAATCTGAAATTAATATTATGTTAAAATAGAAAAAAAAAAGTGATCCATGCATTTCAAAATTTATATAATGTTCTAACATCAAAAATAAATAAATAAAAATATATCAACAAATTAAAATACTATAAAAATCACAATATCTTTAATTCTCAATAAATTTAAATTATCGAGACAATACTTGATGGGAGAACATTTCACTTGAAACTCTTACACATTCCCAGAATTTTAACTGATTCTGAGCACCGCATCTTCTGTTTGACAGAGAGATCTGTCCACATTCTTCTCTGTGGTAATTAGTAAAAGTAAACGGTTAATTAATCTGAAACTGAGAATAATTAATCAATCTAATTACGGTTTAATTAAGAACTTAGCAGACGAAGGAGGCCATGTGAGAGAAGAAGACTGGAACTGACAGATAAAGCTGTGGGACTGGCAGTGGAGGTTTTGTGGGACTGGCAGTGGAGGTTTTATAGGTTGGAAGGTGAAAGGCTAGCTTTCTCTCTCTACCATTAAGGAGCACGGATTTTAAAGGTGAGGCATTGAATGAATCCACCTAGAAAAGCCAACGTAATAATATTCTACCCATTCATACATCTTTCATTCAGCTGTCTCGCACTCACTTCTTGGAGGGTTTAAAGGATGCCAGTTGTAGCACCCCATATATCTACAGCCGAATGATATTTTTTTAGTTATATATATATATATATATATATATGTGTGTGTGATGTAAGATTTTAAATAATTATTTATTTAATTAAATATTGGATTATTTGAACTATAAACAAGTTGTCCAAATTAGTGATTGATATTTGGCTAAATTAATAAAAAATGTTACTTTTAAAAGTTATAAATAAATTCTCATTCTTCACGTGAAAGAATATTGAATTTAATTTGGAGTGTTTAATATTTGAAGAAATTTAGAATCTTATTTGGTGATCGACTTGGATGAAAAATATATGCAACTGCCAACAATTGTCATCACTGAGTCATCATTACTTGATCATCATCTCTCGATCGTCATCACCCAATCGTTTTTGCCTAACCAACGTCACTTAATTGTCATTGCACAGCTTTGATGTCTTTCTACCAAAACTCTTAGTTGCTTCTCTAGCAATCTCTGCTATATCAATAAGAGACCAAATTAGTATTCTAACCAATGCTTTAAAAACCGGTATGATCGGTTCAACCTGAAAATCGGTCTAAAGGCCGGTTCAGTTCAACCTGAAAACCGGCTTAGCTTCAAACCGATCGGTTTTGTCCAAAACCGTTGGTTCAACCGGTTAACCGGCAAACCGATCGCGGTTCACTTGAACCTACCGGTTCAAGATTTGTATTTTTTAAAATTTAAATTTTAAATAACTTATTTTTAAATATTAAAAAATATTTATAATTTAATTTTAAATTTGAAATTAATAAATGATTTAATTTAACCTCAATAATTTATAAATATAAAATAATAATATGAATCTAATATATAAATTTTAAATATAAATTATATATAAATATATAACATAAATTAAGGATTATTTATATTAAACTTATTAATTCATTTGTAAGTTAATTTTTTGTTAAATTTAAATTAAATTTAAAGATTGAATATGCTTAAATTTAAAATTATATAAGATATTAATAAGATATTAGTAATATGTAAATTAATCTTATATGATTTTTATATCTTCTAAATTGTATTTATTACGTCATCCGGTTCAACCCCGGTTCGACCGGTTGAACCGATCGAACCGTGAACCGCTCTCTCTACCGGTTCTTTGTCCAGTCCGGTTTTCACAACCTTGATTCTAACTTTGTAATGCTATTTTTTGTAGTTGAGGAAAAGAGCAAACTTATGTAATTTTGCTTATATAGTGAACCATTTTAACTAGGCCTGACTCCTTGGTTTTTTCTCATTCAATCTGTATTAAAACTGGGTGTCTTTCGCAACTTTTTTTTTCTTTATGTGTCCTTAATCTTCGTACAAAATTATGACAGTAAGCCCTCTCTAATATTATAACTATTCTAATATGTAATAGTTTTGTGCATTTTTTATTGACATTAATAATATTCTACAAATACTTCTTCATTAGATGACAAAAATAACGCCCATTGAAATAGAGCTTCCCACTCTAACACTCATCTATTTGATAACCAACATGTTGATCAAGGATGTCATAATCTAGTTGCAGAGGCTCCCCAAGCTTGTCCTTGGAATATCAAATTTGTAGAATGGAGGAACATTAAACTATATCAAATCATTAATCTATTTAGAGGCAGATGGATAGGAAAGAGTACATTCATAATATGATCAGAATAACTCACTATAAAATAAACCAAAAGTAGAGTTGATTTATTGAATAATACAAATACATTGCTTGTCTTGTTGTGGTTCATCATCCACCACAAAGCCCATTAGAATAACCATGATATTGTCAATTATATATACCAATCCTATTTATGTTGCCTAACTAGCTAGCTAGTATTCTATATACAACCTTAGTGGACTGGACCCAACCTCAACTTATTGTTGCCTCTCATAGTATTATAAGAAACAAACTTTGATGCATTTTTAAAAGAAATTTCCTCTGAGGGATACATATTAGCATACTCATCATCGTAGTTTTTATTTTTTACCAATGTAATTCTCAAGCATAATATTTTTGTAGGGTTCAGAGTGCCTGATATTGATTATTATGATGCTCCTCTAATCCTTATGAGAATATCAAACTCTAGAGGACTATCATGCATAAAGAATGAAATCTAACGTGCTCCTCTGTTTTAATTATTTTTTTAATTGATTTTTCATGTAAAAATGTTGGTATCCTTTACAATTCTTTTATTTGTGTATTTATTAGATCTTCATATAGTATTATGACGTTAAATGTTCTTACCCTACCACTATAAGTGTTTTGAGAAGCAAGGTTTTCTTTCAACTTATAGCCTCTTACATATTATAGCTTGTTATTTTTTCTGTAATGTAAGATTTTTATCATGCCTCAAGACCAAATAATTTATTTTTTATAAGCCGGGCCTAGAGTTGCAACAAAACTAACCTATTATTTCATATATGGTAAAATTTTATAAAATAGAAGTTAGAAATACATCATTTCAATGTATAGCTGAAGAGGAAGGTTCTTAAAACATAATCTCTATGAAACCGGTATCACTATGCCTTGAATTGATTGTCTCAATAAGACGAAACCAACGATACCAAAATTGGTCTAATTCAAGCCCAATTTTATCTTGAGACCCTCTTAATAATAGCATCTCTGGTCTTGATACCCTCTTAATTAGAGCACCATTGGTTTTGAGATCCTAATTGGAACCCCACATTAGTTCAATAGTGGACAAAAATGCCATGCATATAGGTTCCTGGATGAAACAAGAACTTGGCCAAGAAATTCTCATTGAGAATTTCCCTGCAAAAAAAAAAAAAAAAAAAGCTTTAGTTAGTCTTCTTTTAATCATTTTTTAATTTATGTTTTCTTTATTCTTTCCTTCTTCTTTCTTGTTTCCATGTACATTTTTTCAAATCTGACTTATTAGTTAGCTTGAAGGCTTTTATTTAGTTGAAAAAAACAACTTGTTCGATTTGCAAAGTAGGAATTTAGGATTCTCTGTGTTTCTTTACTAATTAGTCATTATTCTTTCTTATTTCCTCAGTGTTAGTATGTCCACCCTGTTAACAACAAACACTGCCCTTAATATCAACCGTTCATCATTTATTTATGTGACAATCCTGGAGTTGTTTCTAAAAGCTTTTTATTCAAATATTTAGGCTTCGTTCGGGATAGCTTTCATATTGCTTCCTAAAATGATTTTTTAGTATAAAATTTTCTAATTCATGATTTTTTTGTACTATAAAGCTGTTTTAGAAAGCAACAAAAAAATTGCCCCAAATGAAACCTTAGACTTCATTCCTGACATCTTTCTTACTATTTTTTAAAACAATTTTTCAATACAAAAAAACTCTTAAAAAATATTTTAGAAAGCAACAAAAAAATTTGTCCCAAATGAAACCTCAATATTTTGGGATCTTATAATTACAACAAATTTCATGCTCAATCAGATGAATTTTCTCGTGAAATATATATTCTTTATTCAAGCTATTAACAATTTAAATTTAATTAAATGAGTTATTACTTATGTTTGACTCACTTCTTTGGTGAGTATATCAAACTCAAAACTGTTCCTAAATCTTTGTGAAAAACCCAAGCATACCTATTAATTATAAAACTTAAAAAGTAGAAAACAAAAGTATTTTCTTTAATTTGTTTGAAAAAAATTACTCAAAATATAAATATTTGTTTTTGAATAAGATATGGCATACAATGAAGCATTTTACAAATTTTTTTCATATAAAAATAAAAAATCTCAACTATTTTAATTATTTTACAAAAAATAGAAATAATTTTATGTAAGTTTCATAATAATCATGCAACCTAGGGTTCTTTTATGACCACTGCAACTTTTTAAAATGAAGGAAGATCTCATCAACGGAGGTCCTTGCGTCATCTGCTCTTGTTTTCTGGATGACCTTGCGACCACCTGAACTTGAGGTATTTTTCCTTCATATATGAGGATCCATTTTATCCTATATCATTGAGCTATAGGATTGATCTGTTGTTGGTTTTTTAATCACATGAATCCTACTCCCCTTCCACCCACCATTTTTTGGTCTGGGTGTTTTTGTTTGTGGGGTCATTTTTACTTGTAATTGCTTTATAGTTGGCTTTTGTAATTTCTTTTCATTAATATAATGAACTGTCCCAAAATCTTAGCAAGAAAATTGTCTCAAACAAAAACTTAGTAAAAAATATATTTTTTAGATATTAAGGCCAATTAAATCAAACTCACACACGCATGATTCCATTTTAAAACCTCTTAGTTAATAATCAAAGCTCAAAATCAATATATAAAATAAGGTATGAAGTAAAAAATTATAAATATATATAGAAAAATTTTCAAAATTCTAAGCCGTTTTGAATGCAATTGAGATAGCTCCAATTTTTAGAAATCCCCGCTCCCTTGGTTACCTCCCTCCCGCTTCCCTCCCGTTCACACCAGAAACTAAAAAAATAATAATAAAAATGCCCCCAAACCCCTATAATACCTTTCTCCCTCGATTATTGACCTAGTTGCTTCACTTGCTCCGATGGCAACGGCGATAGATCTACCCTGCGACGGCAATGGCGTGTGCATGGTTTGCAAGAAAAAGGCGCCGGAGATAGAGGCGGTGACTTGCCGGACCTGCGCCACGCCGTGGCACGTGCCGTGCCTTTCCAACCCGCCGAAGAATCTCGCATCCATCGCAGAATGGCAGTGCCCGGACTGTTTTTTGCCTACCGACGGCGCTACGGCGTCCCTTCCAGCTGTGGCGGTCGGAGTAGGCGGGTCTTCGGGCAGTCTGATCGTTTCCATCCGGGCGATTGAGGCGGACGAGTCGCTGACGGAGCAGGAGAAGGCGAGGCGGCGGCAGGAGCTGATGAGTGGCGCAGCTGGGAAGGAAGGAAAGCAGAGGGAGGATGAGGAAGGTGTGAAAAAGAGTGGTGATGATAGCGATGTGCTTGGCTTGCTGGATGATAAGTTTAACTGCTCCTTCTGCATGCAACTGCCGGAACGGCCCGTCACCGTAAGCGCCAGAATATTTTCTTAGAAGACTTTTCTTGCTTAAAATTTTAATTATGTGGTGTTTCTGAATGATTGATTGTTTCATGTGGTCGTGATGTTTTTGTTTTAGCTTGCTTGTCCTCATTGTTGCAGCTGAGATGGTGATGTTTTGTCTTTGATGCAGTTGCATGTAATGAGAAGACTAAGGTTTTATTATATTCTGATGTTCGTTTGTATTGTTAAAGTTGGAAAGGGTTTCCAGAGGGATTTGCTGATATTAGTTAGGTCATATATGTTTTTCAAACCTTTTTTTCTCTAGTGCGGGATTCCATTAATTGTGAGTCATCTAGTTTTCTAGGCAGACATAGCTGGTTGAAGCTATAATCAAAGCGATCATATGTGTTGTCTCTCAGGTGGTTGTTGGTGCCGGATCTCGGTCAAAGCTTATCAGTCGTATCTCTATCATCAATATCATTTGACTTATCCGAACTTAAAGCTTGCCAGTCCAATTATGAGAATTTGTGGGCTAGTATCGAAGGATCTTTTGGTGCTTTTCATGTATCAGCATTTTGTGGCAGATGTCACGAGAGCTAAGGAGGTTATCGCAGATGAATACTAAGTGTCATTGGGGCCTAAAAGAACTCAATATTGGGTTTCGAAGCGGTCACCTGTTAGCATTTAACTTGAGCTTGAAGGACGAAAGGTAGAAGGGAAAGGAATTATCTTCTTAGACATTTTATGAAGACAATGAGTGGCAGAACTTTTACCTCCAAGTGAAAGAACTTGGGAAAGACAAGTATAAAAATAGTAAAACACTGTGAGACTGATGTAAAGGTATTTATGGGTAATTAGGAGGGCTTTTATCCCTTGATTTATTTATTTATCTTTCAACTTATCCCTTTGTTCAATGGATTGGATTTACTTTGGTGTGAGGAAAATAATTTAAGCCAATAAGTTGGAGATCAAGTAAGTACTTATGTATATTGTGTTTGAATATATTGGATTTGTCACATAACAATATGCAGATGAATGCATGACTTCAAGAGTTATAATTGGATGGTTGAAAAGAGAAATAATGCTATAATTTTTTTGTAATAAAATAATATCATTGAGATTTTATAAAATTGTAAGTTGATTGTCCGTGTTACATGAACCAAATTGACTAATCTAAAAATCTAAATCAAATTTATTAAATTGATTGATCTGGTTTGATTTGATTTATGTTTGACAATTTATTTAAATTAACTTATTTGGTTCAAGGTTTAAAATTGCGTAAATAAGCCTCGAGGCGATTTTCGTCCGTGAGGCGAGGCGTAAGTCTACTAGGCGGTCTGAGGCGTAAGCCTCACGGACGCAGAATTGCGTAAATGAGAATTTAAGAATTTTAGCAGGTAAATAATAGCAAGATTCTATCATACAATAAAAACATCTAAATGATATATAAAAATAGTAGAAAGTAAGAAAATAAATGTAATAAAATCATGTCCCAAAGTACAAAATCACAAAATATTAGTTTAACAAAACTCACAAAGTACAAAGAACATATAAAATACAATTATATTCCATCACTAAATGGGTCTTCAAGGGAATTTTCTTCTCCAATTGTATCTATGAATGACATATCATCATTATCTTCAATATGACTCACTTTTTTCTTCCTTGTTCAATAAGAGAAAAGATCATTATCATGTTAATTGCTCACTTTATATAAATATAATGCAATAGCATATAAGAAGTTATGGAATATCTTTACTTGATTGTTGTGCTGCAGAGCTAGTGGATGTGTGTGATGTGGTACTAGTGGATGTGCCCACTTGATCTGCTTCGCCCCTCAAGACATCCACACTTAGATCATCTAGCTGTAAGTCTGATAATGACAAATCTGTCTCATCATTTATGAACCACTCATTATCAGATGATACATCATCACACACCAACGGGTCATCATCATTCCTCAACCTCCTATATCTTAACCTCTTGTTGTGCATAATATATACGAGGGAGTTCATTCTGAGTGTTGATAGTCGATTTCTTTTCTTTGTTTGCACTTGACTATATGTACTCCAGTTTCGCTCACACCCAAAAGAAGAACAAGTGAGACCCAACACTCTTACAGCAAAACTCTATAACTCAGGGGTGGAATCACCAAATTGGATCCACCATTCAACTGTTTTTAAGAAGAAAAAAGATAATGAGAACTGAATAAAGTGTTTTGCATTTACCAAAATAACAATACCTGGAGACCGTTTGGTAATGGTTGATTTTGTTGCACTCAGACCAAAAAAATCCTCTTTATTCCGAAATAGAATAAGTTGTAAATCTGCAAGCTCCATATCTGTGTGCTCCGGTATTAGTCGTTCCATACTATGATACAAACTAAGCTTCACCTTCGGGTTTGAAGATTTCTTCTCTGAATATTGAAATTGAGGATTGAGATAATATGCCGTTGTATGTAGATGACGGTGTAACTGTACCTCCCACCGAGCATTAATGATATCCCAAATCTCTCTATAACTTGCCTCCTCTCCTCTCAAGTTGTGTGCAATCAACTCATTGACCTCATCCATAGCATTATAAATAAAACCCATAGTTGGTTTATTCTCAGCATCCACTAAACGTAGTACTTACACTAAGGGTCTCATGCTCAATATGGCATAGGTCACAGTAGCCCAAAATTTATCATTCAGAATTATCTTCTCGGCATCCACTAAGCGTAGTACTTACACTAAGGGTCTCATGCTCTTTATGTCAGACCATCCATCTGACATAATGGTAACACCAGTCTCAATCCATGTCCGTTTAATCTCATCAATGCTCCGCTCTGTGTTCTGCAACTCCTTCAAAATTCATGTTCACAACTCGTACATGGAAGGTGCCTTCAACCCTCTCCCATACAACTCTACAGATCGCAGCATATTGAAGTAGGCATGCGACGTAGCAACATTAAATGGTATGGCATTCTAAAAAAAAAAACCTGCCAATATCCATGCAAACCTGACGTTGACCCTCTCTAGTACCAGCCGCATGCATCATTTGTGCTTGTCCTCTATCCTTTTTTGGATTAGTCATATACTGATCCATAGGACCCCGTGCAACTCTGTTATGTATAGTGGAGAAAGAGCCCTTTCCACTCTTGCTCCCGAAGTAAGCACCATGTTCGACCATATCATCAAATTGCTCATGTTGTAAGTGTTTTGCCGTGGTACTTTTCTTCATGTAAGCAATAATTTCATCCTTCACCTTTTCCGGCACATTTGCACACGGTGCTACGTTTTTATGAGAGCATGATAAGTGTTCCTTCATGCGGGTAACTCCTCCAAAAATTGCATTTCAAATAAACATAACTCTTCTCTTCGCCGCCTATGTCAACTTGTACACTATATTTCCAAGAAGGGTCCCTCCGCAATGACGTATTCGTCTTTTCCTTGCATCTAACCATGTTTCTTAATGCAAGAATCCAAAAACACAAAATAATTCAAAAAATCAAAAACCCTAGATTTTCTTTTACTTGAAAAATCTAATCAAAAACTAAAAAAAATACCTAAAATCGATTGTGGACTTCTCCTAGAAGGCGGCCGAACACTTCAAGTTCGCCGGAGAGAGGCGGCGTCGGCGGCGGGAAGGGAGGCCGACCGTGCGGGATCCTCTCGGTTTCACGAACAAAGGCTTGCGGGAGGCATTTTTTCGGGAATAACCTAGAGCCGAACGGGTGAAGGGAAGAATATGGGTCATTTTAAGTAGGTGGGGCCAATTGGATGAGGCGTACGCCTCACCTATAATTGTGCAATTGAGGCGCGCCTCAAGCAAGGTGAGGCGTACACCTCTAACAGGATGAAAATTGCGTAAGCCTCGAGGCGTTTTTGGGGAGAATTGCCTTGAGGCGCGCATCTTGTTGTGCAATTTTAAACAGAGATTTGGTTTGAATTAGGTTTGAGATTTTATAAAATCAAAATGAATCAAACCAAATTGATAAAGCATAACACATAATTTACAACACTATAAATTGACTTCTTATGGCTAAACTAAACATAAATAGTGAACTTTAATCAAAATATTATACCAAACATCATAATGATTTTATGAGACCTTATAGATCTTTTAACTATTAATCAATTTAGAATATATTAAACAAATTAAATTAAAACAAATGATTGAAAAATATTTAAAATTGAAACCAATAATTTAATTAAAAAAAAAAGTTTTCTTTAATAGAAATTAAACCTAAATTGAACCAAACTAATCAATTCATGTTTGTTTGTTTTAGTTTATCATAATGATGATTTGGTTTTGGTTTTAATTATTAAACAATTTGATTTTGACTGGTTTTGCATTCTTTTCAAATTTGAAACAATGCAAAGATTTGTTTTACTGCATTACTTGGCTTATTATGTTAACTTATAATATTAGGTTAATGCTTTTAACAAGAGACGGACATGATTGTTTTGAATGAATAAAACCTATACTTTTATTTTAAGAGTAATATATGTGTACTTTAGGCTATAAAGTGGTGGTCTACTAGAGATGTAGAAGCCAAAGGGTGCGTTTATGTGCAATCGTGTATGTGTTTGTGAAAGGTATGCTTCCCACGAAAAAGATAGACAAAAACTAATTTGAATGGTTTGGATTTATCAGCTAGATGGTTTTGTGGAGTGGCACCTGAGTTGCACAGGGGAAAGGGTTGCTAGCACATCCTTGTTTGGTTTAATTTTAAGCGTTGGTTGGATTAGAACCAAATAGAACTTTGTAAAACCCCTAGTTACATGGATTTGATTGTTGAAAGTTCGAGAAGTCATTAAAAACTAAATTGAGTGTTATGGAAATTGCTTAATTGAATTTGTGATAAACCTTAGATGAGTATTGTGCGAAATGATTGTTATAAAGAGGTGATAGGAGTAACTTCAAGTAAAGATAAGGTGTTGGAAAACAAACTCTTGATGTTTGGGCACATAAAGTAGAGCTAAAGATGCTGAAATAAATTGGTTTGACTTAAATGTGAATTGATTACAAAGGACATGTGTTAACCAAAAGTTAATTGAACTAAAGTTTTGCATAATTAAAGGAGCATCTCTTTGAGCAATTGTTATGAGTGAATGGAGTAATAGGATTCATAAAGTTAATCCCAAGTAATTGGGATAAGAATATAGGCTATTGATAATGTTGACGTTGATGTTGAATCACATGCCTAATATGAACTTTGAATTAATATCATGAAAGTTCCCTGCTGATGAAGCATAGACTGTAAGCAAGCTCTTTAAAGTTAGATTTCTAGAGCAGATAGATGGTGCGCCATTATGAGGTCATAAATATGTGAATTACAGAACAAAAAAATTCAGTTTGATAACTCCTAATTGGAAAAATGTTTGACAAAGCTTGTCAGAGTCATAACAAATGAAGCTAGTTTCAATGCACTATATTTTCTACAAAATATAATTGAAGCATAGAATTGCTAATGCAAATTGTTCTACTTCCAATTCCAAAGGATTGTGATAATTTTTTTTCCTTCTATTTGTTTTTGTAATTGATGTAGATAGGGGGGGCTGTTGATGTGAGCCATGGCACATCAACAGCTCCCCCCCACCTCTGTCTACTTCGGTAATCCATGTGGTTTTGTGGAGTTTTAGGGAAGTTCCCTTTGAGCTAGGTGTAATTGGTTCAAAAACATCAACATGATGCAATTTAAACCCTTAATATTTCTTTTTAACCAAATGATACTATTATGATGAGGATATTCCTCAACATTACTATTCAAGAGCAACACAACAAGCCTTTATCTCACTATGTGGGGTCGGCTACATGAATCATTTTTCTCCATTATGCCCTGTTAAGAGCCAAATGCTCATCTAAATATAATAAAAAAATGTCATTTCTAATATTTTCTAACCAAATCTTTTTAGGTCTACCTCTATCTTTCTTAACATAAGTCAAAACTATTACATCTACTTTCCTAATTGGGTCATCAGAAGGCTGCCGTTTTGTGTGACCAAACCATCTATGGAAACTCTCTCTAATCTTATCTTCCACTGATGCTACTCCAACCTGTTCATGTATATGCTCAAGAGTAAAGCCACTCATCCATCTGAGTACTCTCATATACGCAACACTTAGCTTAATATTATGCTTGTCTTTTAATGGCCAACATTCTGCACCATAAAGCATTGCAGGTCTCACTACCATCTTATAGAATTTTTCCTTAAGTTTGAGAGAGACTTTTCTATCACACAACAAGCTTGATGCATTCCTCCACTTCAACCACCCAACTTGAATTTTACTAATAATATCCCCATCTATTTCACCATCACTTTGAACAATAGACCCAAGATACCTAAAACGTGTACTCTTATTAATGACTTGATCCCCCATAGTTACAATCCCATTACTAGATCTATTATTATTTATTACTAAAATTACACTCCACATATTCAATTTTAGATCTACTCAAACGAAAGCTTTTAGACTCTAAAGTTGACTTTCGTAATTCAAGTTTACCTTCAACTCTCTCTCTAGTCTTATCAACAAGAAGAATATCATCAGTAAAAAGCATACACCATGGTACAACCTCTTACAAATGTCTTGTGAGAACATCCATGACTAAAGGATCAAGTTTACCTTCAACTCCCCTCTAGTCTTATCAACAAGAAGAATATCATCAGCAAAAAGTATACACCATGGTACAACCTCTTGCAAATGTCTTGTGAGAACATCCATGACTAAAGGAAAAAAGATATGGGCTTAAGGTTGATCCTTGATGTAATGCAATAGAAATAGGAAAATACTTGATCAAGCCACCTTTTGTCTGAACACAAGTAATCGCTCTTGCATACATAGTAATGACTTGAATATAAGCATTATTAACCCTTTCTTATGTAACTCTCCAAAGCACTTCTCTTGGAATTTTATCATATTCTTTCTCTAAAACAATAAAAATCATATGTAGATCCTCCTTTTTCTCTCTATACTTCTCTATCAAACCTCAATAAATGTATACCTTTAATAGTAGACCTACCTGAAATGAATCCAAATTGATTCGACATTACTATTCACTAATTTAAAATTGTATTTATTTATCATTTAGTTGATATGAATCCTTATATTATGTCATCTATAATATTTACCGTATTGTTGTTGATGAAGTGAATTGAAACAATTAATGATTGTCCCCTAGGTTTGTTCATTCTCCAATAAGCTGTTACCATGGACAACACTAGTTTAGTATTAAGGATTTGTTCAACAGAATGTTCTAGGATTTTTCATTTTGACTCATAGTGGAAATGTCCTCATAAATGAAGTATTTTGCATTAAATGTGCCATCGTAGCCTCAAATAATGTTGCAAATAATAATGTCCATATTGTTGTTGATGAAGATCAATTCAAACAATTAAATTTCTGGCAATTAGATAACTTCATTATCTAAATTCTTACAATGGCAGCTCTCTCTGGTTTGGTACATAGGAATTGTACAGCTGTATGTTCATCTAGGGTTGTTTGTAGTGACTGTTTAGTTGTGAAAATATTTATGATTGAAGTAGTTTCCTTGAAGCTTCTTATTCACCTTATTTAGTTGGAAGTCTTATTATTTATTACATTTCTGTCTATCGGAATGCTGAATATTTTAATATAAACTCATGTCATCTAGTCTCTCTCCCTCTCTAAATTCTGACTGATCTGCTGGAGGCCAAAAGGCTTACTAAATTCGAATAGAAAACATGCTCTAAACTAGTAGAGTGACAATATGAGATGTCAACATAATGTCCTTTTTATTTCTCTCCGGTTTATAGGACTTTTTGAAACTGTTTTGATCTTTTTTGTGTTTTCTCCCTCTCATTGCAGACACCATGTGGCCATAATTTCTGTTTGAAGTGTTTCCAGAGATGGTTAGGACAAGGTAGGCACACTTGTGTGAAGTGCCGAGCTCCCATCCCACAAAAAATGGTCTCTCAGCCAAGAATTAATTCTGCACTTGTAGTTGCTATACGCATGGCAAAGACAGCAAAGCCCATGCCTGGCAACAAAACAAATGTTTATCATCACGTATGCAATGAAAACAGGCCCGAGAAAGCATTCACCACTGAAAGAGCGAAGAAATCTGGAAAAGCTAATGCTTGCAGTGGGCAAATCTTTGTAACAGTTCCTCCTGATCATTTTGGTCCTATTCTGGCAGAAAATGACCCCAAAAGGGGCAAAGGAGTGCTGGTAGGCGAGTTGTGGGAGGATAGGATGGAATGTAGGCAATGGGGTGCACATCTTCCTCATGTTGCTGGAATTGCCGGGCAGTCTGGATATGGTGCCCAGTCAGTTGCTCTTTCAGGAGGGTACGAAGATGACGAAGATCATGGAGAATGGTTCCTATATACTGGAAGGTAAATTAAACAAATCAGCATTCAAGTCATTGTGTAGGTTTTCCATGATTAATTTACTGAACACAATCTAAATGTTTTGATTACTTACCTTATCAACATTATGTGGTAATACTATTAAGTAGTTTTTCCTTTATTCTGCTGTCTTTCAGCTTTAATTCTACGTGTATGCCATCCTAATATTGATATTGTCATTCTTAGTTCTAATCAAATGGTTGTTTGTGTGTGTTATTTGCACTGAAATAGGTTTCTCGTTCCCAAGGAATCAGTATTATGTTGGTTTTCTGGTCATCATTCTTTCACAAGTTTTTTGTTTTTTGTTTTTGTATTATAAGTGACAATATTTTATTATGAGGGATTGAATCTTTGCTTGGAACAGTGGTGGAAGAGACCTAAGTGGAAATAAACGGACTAGTAAGGATCAGTCCTTCGACCAAAAGTTCGACAAGCTTAATGAAGCGCTGCGGGTTAGTTGCAAGAAGGGTTATCCTACTAGAGTTGTGAGGTAGGTGATGTGATTTTCTATAAGATAAAAACTCTCTGCTTGGCCATTGTTTTTTTACATTATTCCAAGTGTGTTTTGTAGTTAAATATTATGATGCATGTTTTTTTGGTCATTAATAACTATGTTTTTCTTTTCTTTTTATTTCATACTTCTTTTTTTTTTTAAATGGATTTCATGAGTTTTATTCAGGATCATAGAAATAAGTAAATGAATCTAATTCTTGGATTTCACATATTTTCATTTCAAGATTAATTTATTAAGAATAAAAATATTCTTTTTATGATTTTGGTGCAATTATGCATGTAATGCATTGTTTGTACATCAGCCTATCAGGTTCAGCATTGCCATGTTTATAGGAAGGTTCTTCATAATTGGTTGATTTGGAATGAAACTCATTTAATGATGTGATAAATTCCAGTTCAGAACACCATGGCAATCATGAATGGATTTTCATGAATATAACATGTATGCTCTATTGAACTACTTTCAGGGGTGTACATCTTGTATCTGCAAAAAATATCCCACAGCTGCATATGGTAGCCTGCTTTTTTTCCATAAAACTTCATATTAGCCTTTTTAGCTGTGTTAAAAGACATTTTTCTTCAATTTTTGGTATGCATGTGCTGAAATCTACAGCATGATGATCAATTTTTCTTGGTATTTTCTGAGGGATAATTTCTTGCATCTTTTTTTTTGGCTTCCAGATCCCATAAAGAGAAACGCTCTGCATATGCTCCTGAAACTGGTGTGCGTTATGATGGAATTTATAGGATTGAAAAATGCTGGCGGAAAGTTGGAATTCAGGTAGGGTCCTCTTTATTACATTGTGATAGTGTTTTCCTAGTACCCATGCTACATTCTTTCTTACCGCATGTAGTTATCCTTTTCTATTTTTATATGTTTCAGGGATTTAAAGTGTGCCGGTACCTTTTTGTTCGATGTGACAATGAGCCAGCTCCATGGACGAGGTTTTCAATTGCATTTTCCTACTATTTGGTTTTAATTCTGGCTAGTTCTTTCTGCTTGTTCAGTTGGTAAATTCTTAGAAATGAAAATATATGTAGTTCTCCAGCTAAATCATCATAATTGTGTGTGTGTGCATATATATATATATATATATCTTATCACACTCATGAATCACTTGATTTTCTAACAATGACTTATATTGATTATTTTATATTCACTTAAATTTTATAGTCCATGTAAAGCATTTGGGAATTATTATATTAGAAAAATATTTATAGTGAAAATTAATGACATAAGGTGGTTGACAATGATTATTTGGTTATCTACGACCAAGTGTAGAGAATGCATCACTTATTAGAGAGATAAAATTAGTGTTGAAGAATTACGAAAGAAAAGTTGTAGATTTATATGGTAATATAGATATAAGTTATTCATTTTTTTTTTGCAAAGATTAGGTTTCATATTTTAAGTATCCCTCAATGGAAATAAATGAAAAATAAGAATTTATAAAGATGACCCCAAGTTATTAGGATAGGCCTAATTATGCTGCTGCTGGTTTCTGCAGTTAGACATCACCCCGCCCCTATTGTATTGTTTTCTAGTTACTTAGGCCACAAATAGTCAAAGAAAGTATGCAGATTATTGCGCACACTTAGATAGAGGAGGCTGTAAGTATTAGTTGCTTTTTGACAAGTTGATGGCATCATTGCATCATAATAATAATTTTTTTTTTGCTATTTATTTACCTTAGGTTTTATTGATGCTTCTGAGTGCATATTGCAATGTATCCTCCAAGTTTGAATGCTTTGGGCCAAATACGTGTATTGATATATTAAACTGCTTGTATATACTTTGGTCAATAAGAAACACGAGAGAGCAAATTTCTACAAAGTTTTAACTTTTAGTTGGTTAATAGGATTGCTTCCATATTCTATGCATTCTCCCTTTTTATTATTTTAATGATTCGCTATGATACCAGCAGTACACTTCAAATAATAGTATTTTGAGTATATCATCATCCCTATCAAATCGATCTTTTCCCTCATATTATCATGTTATCTCTACTTATATTTTTGTTTTTTGTTTTCAGCCGACAATTTCTTATAATTATTTCATATTGTACTCATTTTTTTATTGGTTATGAAATTATGTTGAAAAAAAAAATCAGAAGCTATGATACTTACTTTATATAGGATTAATGAAGGTTAGGATTTTCTAGTGCCATTAATATGATGCATAGTATGCGTTTATGTAATAAAAAATCAAGGACTCATAGGTCATAAGTTATGAATCAATCAACAGCTCTTTTTAAATAAAAATTGACAATATCATTATTTAAACTCAATTGATACTTACATGATTGTAAATATTAGAGAATTTTACCAATAATTTAGAATTAAATAAACTTAACAATTAAACATTTTTTATTTCTAAAAATCAAATTTATGATCTATCATTTTTGACTAAAATTAAGGGACTTAAATTAGCCTACAATAACTTATGTAAATGAAATATGCAAGAGACCAAATTATCAAAGAAAAGTAGATCTCATGCTGATATGAGATGCATTATTCAATAATTTGATGGTCTTATTTATATTGTGCTTGAAAGAATCAAACATTCAATTTGCTCTTATAAATTTAAATTGGAAAAATAAGTTTTATTCAAGCTAAAAAAATTTAATTACATGTCTCAGAAGAACTATTAATAGTTTTTCGTTTTAGTTAATTGATAAGGTTGACATAGGGTCCACCTTATTTAAAATTTAAATAAAAATCTAATTTAATTTTAAATTTCCAAAAGAACCAATGACCATGACTTCAAATTTACAAAGCAACCTCACTTAGAAATCAGCTAAATATACGCAACTAGGAGATGGCCAAACAGATGCACCTCATTGGCTCATTTAAATCTCTTTTTCTTTTTATAAACTGAGGATAAATCCAAAATCTCCTAACCACACTTTACATCATGACGTGAATACCACAATTTTTTATTATTATTTTTTTTACTGAATAATATGAAAGACCACCACCTGAAAGGGAGCAAAGCCAACAGCCATACATCATTTAGTTGAATGGTTTCTATTTTCTACGGAGTAGTTAATCCATAGAGCTTCATTAAGACGAGGCAGCAAAATGTAGGTCCTCCATAAAAAAACTGTAAAATTTGAAGGGAATAGGAAACGTTCTTTGAATACTCTTGTGCTATAGATTATAGTGTTAAATTTTAAGAATCACTATTTGATAATGTTAAGGAAATAGTGTTTTCAGTGTAGCCGAGAGTTTATCATAAGATTATTTAATTTTAATCTTAAGTACTTGCTCTTTGATGCTTTTAATTATCTGATTTGGCAGTGATGAGAATGGTGACCGCCCAAGGCCGCTACCTGATATTAAGGAGCTGAAGCAGGCCACTGATATCACAGAAAGGAAAGAAGTGCCCGCATGGGATTACGATGTAAGTACAATTATGAAAGCTTCTTCTATCATCTCAATAGAAAAGAGCTTGTGATGTTTTCTTATACGAATACCTAAGCTAACTCCATTGCTGAAGTTTAGTTTTTCAGTTCAAGGATTTAGCTGGAGCAATGGAATTCTTTTCCCTGCATAAATTGTGAAAGTTTCTTTTTCAGCTTTCATTTAAAGTTAATTTGTATAGAGCTTATTATATTTATAAAGGTTTGTGAACTTGACCACCACATCTATTTCGTAACGCATCAGCACTCAATTACAAAACAATTGTAGTATACGTCAAATCCAAGATATTACACGTATGCAGCATTGTGGGCTCCGAAAATTCGGCCCCGGCCTCCCCGCCGCGCACTGATTGATTGTGCTTTTATTTGAGCGAGGGAGTTTTAACGAACTAAGTTCCGGGGTAAATTTTGGAAGGAAGATGGGTTTGTAGATAAAACACTACCCAGAGATTTCACCCTCATTTTGTGAGGACTTTATGATCTGAGTTCCGGTTTCCTATAGGCGCAAGCCCCTATAATTAATTACCCCTCCCGATAACGAGAGAGAACTTTCGATTAAGGCTAGTCGTCAATCAGATACGTAGATATACGTGCATCTGGCATATAGTAGTAGCAATGAGTTGAGATTGGAAGTAAGTCTGGATAATTTGGATAGAGTTTGTATTTTAAACAGAAATTGCACATCTTGCACTTAAAGCAGATGGTGGGGGAATAGGATGATAGACCCCTATCAAGATCCGCTGGTTTTCGTCGTCCGGCCATACGTGTTCTCTGGTCTACTTAGTTCAGAGGAGGTAGTCCAACCCAACCTGACAGAAGGATCCTTGTCGGCAGCCATGCAGTTGCTTCGTCCCAAGGGGACCTTGTAGACCGGGGTTGAATGTTTGTCTAGGAGACAAATTTGAATCCACCTTAGCTACAGAGGCTTGTGCTCTAATCGATCATATCCTATTGATCTATCTCAGGAATTTGAATGCCAATAAGGAGCGTAACTGTGCTGGCCCAATAAACGGTATTTTCAGTGGTGCCATTTAGCGGCAAAACCACTCGGTTCAGCGTAAACGGGCTGCCCATAACCGAGTATTTCGTGTGCTCATTTAGCAGCAAAACCACTCGGTTCAAGGGCCTCGGGTCGTCATACCGTTTTCCTGCGGTGTCAATTTGGCGCAAACACCCGCCGGTTAGGAGGACACGTACCCACGTCCTTACTGGCAGGAGATTGTTTGAGAATGGATCCTATGTATATTTTCGACTAGGCCATTTGAGCTCTTTGTGAGCTGAAGTTATATTTGAATTTGTCCACCTTCTGGCAAACTGTTGCGGAAGGGTGGACGAATTTTACTTTGAGTGGTTGATGATTTGGATTTTCAATTTTAAATATTTTGGTAATTTGGGATTTATGATTTGGATTTTTTGGAGTAATTTGGGGTGGCATTTGAAAATAGTGTGAACCCTCGGTTGAGAATAAGCAAATCAATGGGCCATCATCGGGGTGTTTTGGGGGTCATTTTCCATTTGTCTGATCGACCCTGTCAACTCGACAGCTATTGACTGAGGATCGAGTTTTGTAGGCTTTGTGCCTTTTGTTCATGAATTTTCTTTGTTGAAGCCTTGTAAGGCCGAAATATGAAGGATACAAAATAAGTATTCCGGTCAACTTTTGACTGCATATTTATCGATATCTCAACCCTGTCTAACTCCTATTTTATATACTTAGGAGGATCGGGTTTCGTAGGCTTCATGCCTTTTGTTTGTGAATTTTCTTGATTGTAGGCCTTGAAGGCTTAATATGAATGTATAAAATTAAATATTCCGGCAGACTCGTAGACCACGATATTCATCCAATGGGTTGAACCCTGTACTTCTATTGATTTACTTAGGAGGATCGGGTTCACAGGCTTTGGTGCCTTTTGTTATGAATTCTTTGATTTTTAGGTCTTGAAGGCCTAAATGAACGTATTTAAACAAATACATCGGTCGCTACAGTCGTAGTATTTTGAGTAGATCAGTTCGAATCTTGTCGATCTTCTATTGATCCGTATAGAAGAGATCGGTTTCGAACTTGAATTCACTTGTCAAACTGCGTATATGCATCCCTAGGCGTCACGTGTGTACCAATAGCACGCTCGCGGGGCCCATGCGGGTTATTTTATATGGATTTAGAGACGTACCCCATTGTGTCCTATGTGATATACAACTTGTGCACGTGTAGTGGGTATTTTAAAATATTTGTAGTTTGTGCATAGTTAACACTTGAATGCACAACATTTCCTTGAAGAGCTTAATACACTTCCTTCTGTCTGCTTGCATCAGTGTTTGCAAATCCGGTGGCGTTGCATTTGTACGATTGTAGACGATCTCTCGTTTGCTAGTCACGGAGTGTTGCAGCATCACGGTGGCGTGCATCTTAAGTGTTGATGATCCCCTTTCTCACTCTCACTCCCGGGGACGAGGACTGTTTCTGTGACTTTGGAGTCGTGCTTGAAGAGAACTCCCTTTGAGGTCGTCAGTGTAGTGGACTTGTCTATTTCCGGTGTCTGTGGGCATCCGAACTAATATCTCATAAATAATAGGACTAAGAAGACTAGCGACATCAGGCATGATTGAGTTCTAATTTGTTGACAAATTTCCTTTTCAATTCTGTCAGGGTGATGGCTTTTCGTACATCGGTTGCCTTTGTAACCCGGTAGTACTGAAGCACTTGATACCCACTGTTGGTATGTGATAACCGTACTTGTGTCCACAGTGATTCATGTATCTTACAATAGCACTGTCTGTTATCTACTACACAGATTGTGCGTTGTGCTTGTAGGGTCCCGTTGTATCTCACTACAACTTTTGGAAATGCTCGTAGAAGATCAGTGTCCTTGCATCACATCCACCTTCATCAATCATCAGGTGGTATTTGCTAATATACTTGTTTACAGGGGACGGTCTTTGACTGCTGGTCCTCTCAGTATTGTCATCTCAATCAGCAGGGCATTGTAGGGATTGTCGTAGGAGTGTTGCATTCAATCTTTCGTTTGCATCGAGATTTCATCTCCTCAACTACTGTAACATTGTTGTTTAGAAGCATTGGAACGACTGTGCATTAGACTTGATTTGTTCATTCATATCCAAAGCCCAGTTCATGTATTTACCTTGAACCAAGTCTAAAGGTTCAACTCATGCTTGAGTCTTGTGTGTGTTGTTCTTGAAAGTTCAAGTTCTTTATTCTCATATCAAATTTGGATCCAAACTTGAGTTCAATTTGAGTTCCCTACTCTCCACATCTGTTCCAATTTGAGTTCAAGTAGTGAGCTTGAGTGATCTTATTCAATTCATGTTTAGAGTTCATTTGAGTTTTGAGTTCTATGTTCGGGTCCCCTGATGTTGCACAGTCCGAGTTCAAAGACAAGTTCATGCTTTGTTCAAAGTCTTGCTGGGATTTTTGAAGTCCTTGCATTAAGTTCAGTTTCAATGTTCAAATTGATTTGAAATTGGGCTTCAGTTTGATTTTATTCTTTTTGAGTTGAACGCTTTAGAAATCATTTAGAATTTGTTCAAGTTTAGGTCCACCAAGTCCATTGTTCATCGTTATAGGTCCTCTGCTCCATTTTAGTTCAAGTTTCTGTACATTTCTGTTCAAGTACAGGTCTTCTATATTGTTGCCAAGAAGGTCTTCAAATTGTTCAAGTCTTTCGTATATTTCAGTGAAAATTTCGGCAGCACCCGCTTATCCCCTCGTTTGGGGAAAAATTGGGGAGCTGGGCCTTCCCACACGCTACTAGAGCGTGTATGGTAGGTATCCTTAGACCACCGCGGCCGTAGTAATTTTCATCCCACCACGCTATAAGAGCGTGTGATGGGGCCTTCAGCAGTACCCATACCAAACAGCAGTGACTCCCCCACCACGCTACAAGAGCGTGTATAGGGCTTCACCACCTCGTCGTATGCGTCGCACCGGGCTCCCTCCTACTGTGCTACAAGAGCGCGTATAGGTTGGTTCTCCGGTCCGCTGCAAACGTCGAAAAAGGGATTTCTGGAACATCATACCTTTGCGTAGCAGTCGTCGGCGGTGGTCGGTGTCGATGTCGAGGTCGAAGACCGTCCCCACCACGCTACAAGAGCGTGTATAGGGCTTACCCGCCTCGTCGTATGCTTCGCACCGGGCTCTCTCCTACCGCCTACAAGAGCGCGTATAGGTGGTTCTCCGGTCCGCTGCAAGCATCGAGAACAGGATTGGAGTTAGAAATTATACCTTGGAGTTCGGCGGTGGATGTCGACTGTGTCGGGTACGGAAATCGAGGCAAGGAAGGAAGCAAAGGGATTTTCCTTCTTTTCTTCTTCTTTTTTTTTACTTTATATATATATAATATATAATTTATATAAATATATATATATATATATATATATATTAATTAATATAATATAATTATAATAAATTTAATTAATGTAAAATTAATTGAATAATACTTTTAATTTAATTATTATTTAAATTACAATTAATTAAGATATAATTAATTTTTATTAAAATTAACTAAAATAATTAATTATAATTAATTTGTGATTAATTATAATTAATTAACTTTTAATTAAATTTAATAAAGCATAATTAATTAATGATAATTAATTAATAATTAATTAATTAAATTAAAATTAATTAAATTAACTTTAATTAAAATTAATTAGCTTAATTATAATACTTTTAATTAAAATTAAATATAAGTAATTAACTAAATTTAATTAAAAAATAATTATAATTAAATATATTTATTATAATAAAAATAAAAATTTTCTTAAACCTCTCGGTCCAGCGGTATTACGGGATTTGGCCGGAGTAGCGAGTGAAGGGGAGAAAGTTACCTTCACTGTCGGCGAGCCCCTGCTCTCGGCTCCGATCAAAATGACGTAACTTTCGATTCAATAGGAAGGGAAGGTCGTCGTCGGAGCCAAGTCGAACAGCAGCGACGGGGTCGAAGAAGCACGCGAAATGGAGAAAGTTATCTTCACGGTGAGCGAGCTCCGGTTCTTGCTTCCGATCCTAATGTCGTAACTTCCGATTCAGCAGGAAGTGTCGTCGAAGGAGCGAAGTCGATCAGCTAGGGAGGAGGCGGAGAAGCGACGCAAGGGAGAAAGTTATCTTCACTGCAAGCGAGCTCCCTGTTGCTTTCCGATCAAAATGTAGTAACTTCCGATCCGACGGGCAGAAGAGAGCGAGAGCGGGAGAGGGAGAGCGAGGGAATGAGAGGAAGAGGCCGAAGGCCTCTTTTCCTTGGCTCTTTAACGACGCGAGGTCGTGCGTCGTGGGAGAAATGTCTCGGACGTGTCTGCGACGTGCGGCTGCAGAGAGTAGGTAAGCATTTTTTTTTCTTTTTTTTTTGATCGTGTAGCAGGTCAACAAGCATGTAGTTGAAACATTCCGAAATGCTATTTACGCTTCCAATTAAAAAAAAAAAAAGGAAAAAAGCATATTTGCTTGTCCGACTTGTCCAACACACAAATTCTTAAATGATTAATTTTAAGTACTTAAGTTTTTAATTGTTCATGTTCTAATTTTATTTCTTTTAGCCATTCCTCTTCACACCTCACTTGAAACTGGATGGCAACCCCCACATATGGGGGAAATTTTTCTGTGCGGATTCTGGATAGGAAGAACTGTCCGGACATGTGAGTGTACACATTTTTTATAGACGGTGTGGTGTGTACACTCACAGTTCGGATGGTTTTTCCTGTCCGGACTCTACACGAAATAATTTCTCCACATATAGACATTGCAGTCCCACAACTATCCCATTGCTTCTCTCTCTCTCTCTCTCTCTCTCTCTCTCTTTAATTTAATTGTCATTTCTCTTTCATTTTTATGACATAATATTTATGAGAGGTTGGGTCATTTTCTAATATTTTTTGCACACTTAAATATCATATTTATTTTTCAAAATCCTTATAATATTAGAATTTTATGATTCATTTCACATTTTATTTGATTTGTGCAATTGTTATACAATGTTTTAAACTTTAAAATATATAAATTATATTATCATGTTGAAAGTGTATTCATATCCTATATATTTTTTTATAATAGGTGTGTTAGGCATTTGTTTGATGTTTGTATTTTGTACCCGTGCCTGTAGTGACTCATAGCTCTTTGATAGATAGTTTTATCGGAAATTTACATACATACCACTTTATAATATCCTATTTGTATATCTAACATCCAAAATTTTAATATTACATGCATACCACCTTATATTATTTAATATCAAATATATCACTTATATTTCTTTCTCACCACTCATATATTTCATTTCTATCACTCATATTTGATATAAAAATGAATTATGGGTGGTATGTATGTAATATTAAAATTTTAGATGTTAAATATGTAAATAGAGCAGTATAAGATGATATGTATGTAAATCTCCCTAGTTTTATTCTAATGTTGGCCTTCACCTTACTGTTTCTACGTGTGGGCCCGATCAAGCTTTATATTGATTTGCTAGGAAACACTTCCACATCTCATCTTTAAGTTACTGAGCTTTTCTCATTTTCTTTTCTTAGGAAAAGAATGGCTGGGGTTGGACTAAGTCTCCGCCAACAAGTAGAAAGATAATGGCCTCAGGAAATATTGATGAGAAAAATAGTGGGCGAAAAAGAAGGGTTAAAAACACCAGCGTGAGGGATAGGCTACTTAAAGGTATGCTTCTTTCTAGGACGTGAGTTTAAGAAAAAAAAAAAAACTTTTTCTTTGTTCTGAAAGTTCTGCCTCTATGACAAATTTACTTTTTTTTTTTTTTGCTCATACAATTTCACACTTCATAACACTATCTGAATAAGTTCGGTTCCATGTTGTAGAATTTAAATGTGAGATTTGCTCGAAGGTTATGACCTTTCCCCTCACAACACCATGTGCTCACAATTTCTGCAAGAAATGTTTACTGGATGCATATGATAACCAATCTTTCATAAGGGAGAGGACAAGTGGAGGCAGGACCCTTAGGGCCCAAAAGATAGTCAAAAAGTGCCCTTCGTGTACAGTTGACATTAGTGACTATTTGCAAAATCCGCAGGTATGTCCATACGTGCTTGCTTTGTGAATATTTCTGCCATCTGCATAATTTCTCCATGATGCGGCCAAATTAACCTTCTTTGCAGGGTTGTCAATTTGAGTTATAGGCTGTGTTTGGATATGACCTTTACACAAATTTGGGTAATAAGAACCCAATATGGTTATTAAATGGGTAATCTGAATCATCAATTTATGAAAAATAATTAAGTTGTGATGGATTAGTGTTAACCCAATTCGAAATGAACATGACAACTGAAAAAAAATAACAAAAAATTAAATGAGTACATTATGAAAAAAAGAAGAATTTACATGCATACCATAGATTTTTTTATGTATTTGCATATTTTATACTTAAATATCTTTATATTTATAAAATATCATATTATTTAAACCAATTGTATATATGCATGAAAATTTTTATTTTACTTTAGATGAACCATTAGTAATGATACTTTCGGTGTAATTTTGAGATTGGTGTATTTTATGAGTTAAATATAAATATTTAAATCATTATATATCTCATCTACAATTGATCTTCATCCTTAATATACTTCACTTTGAACTAAATCCTTACTATTATTTATTTGTTTGGCTAACTTAATACATATGTCTTTCGCCCTCCTTCGTATCTAATTTATTATGTTAATTTTATTACTTTTAATAATATTATTATTTATTACGTCATCTGGTTCGACCCCGGTTCGACCCCGGTTCAACCGGTCGAATAGATTGAATCATGAACCTCTCATTCTTCCGGTTTATTGTCCGGTCCTGTTTTCACAACCTTGCTAAAATCAATCACATTTATTGAAGAGTTTATAAAAATATCTCATTTACTTTTGTTGAATATCTTCTTATAGTAAAAGCATTTTTTTTATCTTCATCCTTAAAATATACTTCACTTGAACTAAATCCTTATTATTATTTATTTGTTTGGCTAACTTAATACATATGTCTTTCGCCCTCCTTGGTATCTAATTTATTATATTAAAAGTTAAAATATTTGCATTGCATATTGCTTTCTTAGACTCATTTTGGGCCTCTTTATATCTTTCCCAATTTTATATATATAATTTTTTTGGTATGCATGCAAATGCCTTTCCCCAAAAAAAAAAAAAAGGAAGCAAGCAATTAATTCATTAGCTTTTGGTTGACTCTATTCCAACTTTGTTTTTGGATCATATAAGTTGAGTTGAATTTGACTTAAAATCTTAATGGCTTAGTAACACTCTGCTTCCTATTATTTATGGTGTTGATTGAAGAAGATGAATAACAGCACCAATGCGCAATTCTGACCAGTCTCTATTGCCTCTGGCAGGTGAACAGAGAACTCATGGATTTGATTGATTCACTCCATCAGAAGATCAAGGAAGAGAACGCAGACAGCGGTGAGGATGAAAATATCAAGAAAGACAATACTGATGAGGATGAGAATGCGAAACAGAATACTGAAATTAGTGATGAAAAATTTGGTGGTAAGCCTGAAACCCTTACAGAAGAAATGAAATCAATTGAGTTCCAGCAGCTCGAAAAGAAGAGGAAACAACTGTAGAGCTGATAAACGAGAAAACAACTTTTAAAAAAGGGCTACGTCATTTATCTGCATTTCACAGCAAAAAAAAAAAAAGGCTCAAAATGATCTGATGCAATTTATGTAAAATCTTGTAAGGTTTATGTTGTTTTCTTATATTTTATATATTTTCAGCTTAAGGGTAGGTTTATGCTCATATCATTGCTATTTTCAATGTGGGACTAATATATCTCTTTCTTTCTATGGAGTGCACTATAAGGGATGGTTGTAAGGAATTCCTATTTTGGAAGTTTTTGTTGGTGTACATATTTAAGTTTTTATTTGGTGTATGTAATGCATGCCACTGTATATTATGCTCAAAATATATAGGGGGATTTACATAGGAATCACCTTAAAACTTTGTATGTACATAATAGCACATTTTTTTTTTTTGCAAATAACACCTACATTTTTTTTGTAATGGTATAAATTTAACATTGTAACATGTTTGCTACCTTCAAGTTAATTCCTTGTTTATGTATGTTTATGCTCATTTAGGTTTAGGGGTGTCAATTTTTGACACGACCCGAACCCGACCCGAAAAAATTTGGGTTCAGGTCAACCTGAACCCGAAATGGGTCGGGTTCGGGTTGAACAAATCAACCCGTTTTAAAAATCGGGTCGGGTTCGGGTTGAACAAGCAACTCGAAATTGACTCGAAAGTGACACGAAAACTCATATTTGACCCGAAAATGGAAATTGATTCGTTTTTTATCTGATTTTGACCTAAAAATCGAATATTAACTCGATTTTTGATCCGAAAACTAGCAATTTTAGGTTAATTTTGGGTCATTCGTGTCGGGTCGGGTTGACCCGGATCCGAATCGGGTCGGTTCGGGTTTGGAAACCTGACCCGTTTTTAAAAAAGGGTTGGGTTCGGGTTGACTCGTACAGTGTCGGGTCAGTTCTGGGTTCGACCCGCTGACCCGAATTGACACCCCTATTTAGGCTTTGTTTGGGACAATAATATTATTTTTTAAAGTGTTCTTTTAGGAAATAAAAATTTTTTAAATTAAAATTTTTTGTATTAAAAAGTTGTTTTAAAAAGAAAAAAATTCAAATGAAGCCTTAATTGTGCTTGATATATATGAGATGTTATCGCCTACAAATATGCACATAGTAAGTGTGTTAGTAGGGGTGTTAAAATGGATTGTGGGTTGATGGGTTAGGTTTAGGTTTTACTCAGAGTTGATGGGTTGAAAATGTTAACCTAAAATTGACTCATTAATAATTGGAATGATCTAAAAATTTGACTTGTTAATTTGTTTTAGCTAAAAAATTTTTAGAACCTATTAATTTTAAATTTTAAGATATTTGATAAAAAAAATAAGAAAATTTTACCCTTAAGTAAAAAAAAGTTTAAGAAAAAAAAAAAAGATATGAAAGGAGTTATTTTAAGATAAGAATGAGATTTGAATTCAAAATTAAAAGGTACAAGATAATGTAATGTGAGTTGATAAAATATGTTAGGTTATTTTATCATTTTTTATTTTATAGTTTTAAGCAATGCTTAAAAAATCAGATCGAACATGTTGGTTTAATTGGTTTAATCATGAATCGGCCGGCTGGTTCGCGTTTGCTTCAAAACCACTATTGCATAGAACCAACTCAAAACTTCTCGAACCAACAGTTTGATTGTTGAACCGTAAAATTATCCTGGTTTTTGATAACCTGCCGGTTCATCCGCGGAACAATTTGAGATGTTTGGTGAAGATCGGACGGCTCATATCTTTTTGAAGGGGAAGCTTATATGAAACATAAGAAATAAAAAATCCTACCATTCATTCAACATATCGTATTTGTTCGTGTATCTTCTTCCTGTCGGGCAACCGTCGCTGTCTCATGTTCATTCGTTCGCAGATTCTCCTGCTTGTTTGCAAAGCTAACATTGAACTGAAGGCTTCCTCTCGGGCTCAACCCCTCCCCTCCAACCCAATGTGAATTTTTCACCTCTATGGTTCCCATCTATGTCTCCTTCTAGTTCATTCGACGTCTTAAGTTAACCTTGCCATTCATTTGACATCTCTTGCTCGTTTGTTGTGGTTTCTTAAACCAATATTAAACATGTTTTAACTTTAAATTAACCTTAATTTAATTATTTCCACATGAATTGAATGGCTTGTTAAGTTTAACTCAGAGTTTTGGCCATCTTCAAGATGCAATTAAGTTATGGTAAATGGATTAGGTTGGGTTACCCCAACTTGTATTAGATTCTTAACATCTTAAAAAAGCTCCACAAGACATGGCTAAAATCACTTTGGCCATTTCGTTAGGTTAAACCTAATTGATAAGTGTAGGTTTTTAAATAGGTTCAATTGACCTATTTGGTAAAAAAGGTCAAACCTATGGTCAAATTTAGTTGAGATGTTTGGCTCATGTTAAATTCATCATATGCAAGGTCCTTGTCTATTTTATTAGATCAACTTAATAATTAAAGTTAATTTGTTAAAATTCACCCATTGGGGTAATTGTGTAAAATTGGGTCAATTTGTTTCAATTGATTCAATCAAAAATCTAATTGGCTAGTTGAGGATGTGGTCTACATATGGATATTCATATATAAAGTACTTAGAGACACCCTAAGGAGGGATCAATTTAAACTAATTGATCCAATTTGATTGGATTGGTTCAATAGGTTCCAAAAGGTTATTTTTTCTTACGCTATGGGTCACCTTTGATAGCATGGCCTAATTGAGCTCATTAGGCCAATCCAAAGGTCAACAAAGATAAATTGGAATTTAATTAGATTATTAGAAGTGATTGGTCCCATCAATTTGATCAATTGAGGTTATATTAATAAAAAAGGTTAATTTATCCGTTTAAGAATAATTGGTTGAAGTTAAGTTAATTGGGGTCGATTGACCTAATCAAGGTATTATTGAGATTAGATAATTTATATAGATTTTCTTCAAGTCAATTAAAAGCATTGCTTATAAAGAATTTTATCTAAGGTAAATGGGTTAAGTTTAATTTAATATCTTACATCATATGTTGCTCTTATAGATAATGTCTTGTGATTATTAGGTATGTACCTTGTCCATGTATCCAAAGAAAGAAAGAAAAAAATATTCATAGAGAATCTAAAATTTAAAACTTTATGAATGAGTTTTTATAGATGTAAGAGATCATATGACATATGCTCAAGAGTGACTGTAACATAATATATAATAGGTGGAGAGTATCATTTATGCTAATTTTGTGAAAATTTGTTGATATAAATTGGATCATTACTATAAGAAAAATAAATAGCTGCATTTCTTTTCTGCTATTTTTTACTTAAGCTCTCTTACTGCTTCTTCAGCTTAAAATTAATAATTGATCAACAAAATAATTAACCTGCACCTTCAATTCAAAGTGTACGGGAGAAGATAGATAACGCTTAGAACCATTTTATCGAGTGTAAAATTGCTGATGGTATGAAGCAATACAAATGTTTTCATTGTGGAACAACTTATAAGGATGGAGGCATTAATATGATGAATCAACATCTTGCAAGGTTTAAATATAATAATGCTTATTGTAAAAAGGTGTCACATGACATCCGACATTAGATATAACAGAGTTTGAATGAAGTACCAAAGAGAAAATAACAAGCACAAGAAGACTTGTCATAGAGTGTTGATCTATTTAGTGATGATCCAGTTGAGGAAGAGAGGTGCTCATGCTTAGTCACAAAATTAGAAAGTTCTGATACACATGGTAAAGATATTGATAATAGGAAGAGAAAAATTGATGAAATTGATAATTTTTTGCACCTAAAACAAAATCAAGATTTCAACCATCCCTTAAAGTGTAATGATATCTCAGAATGCAATGCATTGTGCTAATATGGCAATTGTTAGGTGATTTTATAACAGCTGCATTCCATTCAATGCTATCAATTCATCTTTTACACAAAGGGTTATTGATACAATTACTACAATAGGACCTGGTTACAAATTACCCTTTTATTATAGATTGGGAATGAATCTATTATGAGATGTTAAAGAGGAATGCAAGTTGTTAATTAAATCTTATAAAAAATATGAAAAGAAACTGGTTATACATTGATGGTTGGACAGATACAAAGAGTAGGACAATGATAATTTTTTTTTGTTTATTATCCTCGTGGAGTTTCATTACTAAAATTAGTAGATGCATCTGATGTCATTAAAGATGCCACAATATATGTTCACTATTTACTAATATTATTGAATGGGTTGGTCAAAAAGAACATAATTCATTTTGTGAAAAATAATGTAGCAAATTATAAGAAAGCTGGTGAGTTATTGCATAAAATTTTTTAAAATATATATTGGTCACTTTACGTTGCATATTGCATAAACTTCATTCTGAAAGATATTATAAACATGTCTTATGTTACAAAACTTGCAAGAAGAGATTCAAAAATTATAAGTTTAATTTATAATCTTATTTTCATATTAGTTTGGTTAAGGAAAAGAGCATGTTATACTTAAATTATAACACTAGGAGTAACTAGACTTGTAATAACATTCATTAACCTACGAAGTATGCATGATCATAAGCATAATTTGCAAGCATTCATCACCAATAAGGCCTACACTGATTCAAAGTCATGTAAGACAATAAAGGGGAAAGAGGCAACCTCAATTATTTTGGATGTAAGGTTTTGGAATGATAGTTTAATAATTTCTAAATTATCATTCCTTTAATTAGGTTGTTAAGAATTTTTGATGCAAATGAAAAATTATCTCTTGGATACCTTTATGATGGTATGAACAGAGCTAGAAAAGCAATGAAGGCCATGTTTAGAAATAATAAAAGAATGTACAAGCCCTTCACTAATATCATAAAGAGAATATGGGATAATAAGCTAAGACAAGGGATGCATTCATCAGCTTATTTTCTTAACCCTCACTTTCAGTATGACAAGAAAAATTACCTCAACAAGCCAGAAGTTATGTAAGATCTAATAGAATTAATTGGCAATAAAGTTATATATGTTAAACCTTCTTTGATAATGAATGAGGTGAGGCTATTTTGTGATAATTTAGAAAATTTGGAGAAGCCAATTGCATTAACATTATCAAAAGAAATGCAACCTGATAAAATAACAAAATTTTGAGATTTCATTTTAATATTTTATGTAAATTATGATGCTTTTGTTTACAATAAATGTATTTGAGCAAACCAATGCATGTCTATTGATTTGCAGATGAATGTTGAAAGATGTTTAGCTCTAGTGAAACAAACCTACATAAAGTGTCTATTAGAATTATTAGTCATACATCATCTTTTTTAAGCTATGAGTGGAATTGGA